ATTTTTTTTTTTTGGAATGCTTTTATTGTTGGACTTACATGACATATACTTTTATTTTTTTGAAACAGGAGCAATTCCTCGTTTATTTAAATAATTTTTTTGGTTTTTTTTTTTTTTTTTGAACATTTTGTTATAGGACTGGCTCGAACCGTTGTCTTAGGGAGAGAGACATGAACCTTACAAACGTAGCTAGAACCACTTGACCCGAAAGGTCAGATTCTTTTGGTCTTTCTATTAACAATTCGAAAACAAGTCATCTAAATAATTTTATAAGTTATGAATTAGATCCATTCACTTCATGTGGATTGTGTATTTGGATCTTATAATTTTTTTATTTTTTAATTAATATATAAGTAATTGTAATTTGTTAAAAAAAATAATATTATAGGTTAGATATCATTTATTTCATTTATTCAAATAATTTTTTTTGGTTTTTTTTATTTAAATTGATTCTCAAATAATGAATGATGTATTGAATTTGACAAGAACACGAATCAATGTAACAAGTTACCTATATGAATCAACCTAATCCCTATCTACTTTCTATAAGTTTACTTTTTTTGGTTTTTCTTAGACGGATTCTCTTGTTTAAATTTATTCATGATAAATTTGCCTTACTAGTTAGTAGTTACAGACTTTTTTTACAAGTGTAGAAAATAAATATAAGTTTTCTAACGATTATGAGAGGATTATTTTCATTATATAACTAATTGAGTTTTTTATTTTACCATATGAACTAAAAAATAAAAATTATTAAAGAAGAAATAACTCTCAATATAAGAAGATTCACTTTTTAATTAATAATAATATAAATTTTATAGTATTGTATAATCTAAATTGTCAATTTTTTTTAATTAATTAATTATTAGATATGAGAAAAATTGTTTCTAACTCCTAGAATTTTGAGGACAAAACTATAACTTCTTCTACATATGGGAATTACACTGCAAATGACAAATAGATAAAGAAATGAAAGTCGTCATTGTTTGGGCTAAAACTCAAGAACTAATTGCTGCACGAGATTTTGCCACCGGGATGGAATATGACTTACCGAAGACAAAACTGTAATAGCAGTGCATGGTGCAAATCCTAACATAGTAAACATTATTTCATGATACAAATGCATATAAAAAACATGAGCATCAACAAATAAAATATATAATATGAAACAATAGAAAAGGATTATATAGTATAACCTCATGCAGACTATATAATTATAATTATTGATGAAAAAGACCCCTCAATCAAATTGCAAAATAACATTATCATAAATATGGCCTTGAGATAGCATTTCCTATTTTATCTCAATTTACAAATATTCAATTCAAATTTCCCCACTCATTATTTTGTATCATGTCCTTATTAGAAGTTGAAAATTACATTTTACTTATTCCAAATTAAAAATTACTCATTGCCAAATTTGGTTAGCCACGATATCATAATCGTGGGGGAGGGTGTGAAATTAAGCAATGAAGGAGAGACCGACAAGACTCATTATGGTCATGTTTCATTCGTCCACCAGTATGTATCCTACAAAAATCAAACCAGTAA